ATAACCTGTGGAAACACATGAACAGCCGCTCGAGTTGAGTTCAACTTCGACTAGCCTGCGCTGAGAATTAAGCACACCCCCTATTATCTGCTCATATTTGCTGTTTAGTGGATAGCTTATGATAAGACCTTGGGCTCTCACCTCAATATGATATTTGCACATACTCGAATAAATGCTCTGTCTCGTTTGGCTACCAGCTCCCGGAGGACATTTGCGTCCGCCCGTCCTCTGTCCAAGGAATTCCAAAACCTTTTAGTTTCTCGACCTCACTCAAATGTTACGCTCTTAACTCTCAATCGTCCCAAGGCCTTGAACGCCCTCAGCACACCCTTGTTTCAAGAACTGAACGAAGTTCTTGATATTGTCGAAAAAGACGAAGAAGTTGGGGCACTAGTCATAACTGGGAGCGATAAAGCATTCGCAGGTATGTTGAGAGCCAGTCAACCGACAAACTACGTCTAAAACCCCAGTTTACTAGCTGGAGCGGATATCAAAGAGATGAAGGACAAGCAGTGTATGTAACGGCTCATTATGCATGACTTATCATGTTAATTGATCAATTCACAGTTACTGACGTATACAAGAACAACTTTCTTGGCGACTGGACCAAAATCACAACTTTCCGCAAGCCGGTGATTGCCGCAGTAAGCGGGTTTGCTGTAAGCGTCATGTTACAGTTCAGCTTTCGTTACTGAGACTTGATCAGCTTGGTGGCGGATGTGAGCTTGCTATGATGTGCGATATTATTCTAGCGTCTCCTACTGCACGCTTTGGCCAACCCGAGATCAAGCTTGGTGTTATTCCTGGTGCGGGTGGTACTCAGCGACTGACCCATGCCATCGGAAAGTCGCGAGCTATGGAGCTTGTTCTTACAGGACGCATGATTAATGCTCAGGAAGCTGAGAGATGGGGATTAGTGTCGAGGGTTGTAGAAGGTGATGTTGTCAAAGAGGCCGTCGAAATGGCTAGTACCATTGCAGGAATGGGCAGAGTGGCTGTTCAAGCTGGAAAGGAGAGCGTGAATGCGGGTATGGTTATCGATAGTCCATCGTGTTGTATTTGCTCACGTTGCGGTATTGCGTAGCATACGAGCTTTCGCTGAGAGACGGGCTTCATTTCGAGCGTAGACTCTTCCAGAGCCTCTTCGCAACTCGCGATCAAAAAGAGGGTACGTTGGACCCTATTCATCTCGCTAAAAAAGAGGCGTTTGGTATCCGCGGGGCCTATGAAGGTGGAATCCTGGGGCTGCTTAATCCGTTCTCATGGGGCGTGATGACCATGGCAGCATGGCCATTGTTTCTTGGTCGGAGACCGGCTTCCTATAAACCTTCTCAAAAGCAGTAGAATCGCTTCTTACTCAGAAAGGACGTGTTTTAATCACCATGTTAATATGCTTTCTTTTCGCAGGGATGTCAGCATTCGCTGAAAAACGTGATCCCAAGTGGTCTCATTCGTGACTTGAATGTTTGAAGTAGTGGTGGGCTTGTAGTTTGCTGGAATCATGTATTACATCAACGAATGTTAACTAGGCCCAACAGGCGCGCTATATGTACGCGACTCCTGGATAGGCACGGTCACGTGCAAGTTCAAGCGTGTCTGGCTGGGAATTTGAAACAGCGGCCACAACATTCCTCCCACCTCCCAGGCGCTCTCCAATTCGCCGGCCCCCGTTAATCTCTAGTCGCCCCACACTTCTCTTGAACATTTGCACAATAAACAACACAACATCTACTCCAAGTGAACGAATCATGTCAAACAAACTAGGCAAACGGCCCCGATCTGGTCGCAACGCTTCACCAGCAATGGCGACTAAGGATACTACCAAAACATCTGCTTCTTCGATGCTCTCGCCCGCTCACAAACGCCCTCGCACGAATGCCCGGCTGGTGGAAGACAAAGAGAACGACCCTCTCTCGGGACGTAAATCTAGGGTGCAAGCGAAGGCTATTGTACGGGAAGAGGTAGATAAGGTTGACGGTACTGATGAGGAAGTAGAGGGTGGCGAAAACGAAATTATTCAAAAATCTGGTGCGTCAATCTCTTGAGTCGCTGATAGGCTCATTTTCCTAACGGCAAGATGATTAGTTCGCCTACCTTCGCCCACAAAAACGCCCTTCAAGCCCACCCCTAATTCGAAGAAATCCTCGACTAAGAAAGTAGCGCACGTTATCCTTCCTTCCGCTCCGCTACCCTCTCTTGTATCACGACTACAACCCACCCCACCCGCAACACCACCTACGACCCTGAGTCTTCACGCCCGGGCTCGTGCTCTCCTTCGTCCTGGCCCAGGAGAGGTCATTGGGAGAGAGAAGGAGCGGGCTATTTTGTCCGATTTCCTGTCTTCATTTGCTGCTGGGTCCACTAACCAGTCCGGTGACGCCAGCCAACACTCCGCTGCTTATATCTCTGGTGCTCCTGGCACTGGGAAGACGGCACTCGTTAGTGAAATCTTACGCGGAATTGCAACCGATGGTCTCCGAGGAATCTACGTCAATTGTACAGGTCTAAAGGAAGAAAGTACTGTTTGGGCTCGTGTACTTGAAGAAGGCGCGTTCACGATTCCAAAGGGAAAGACAAGTAGCGGCTCAGAGAAGAAACGATTCGAAACTACCTTGAAGACGAACGGTGCGAAATGGTACGTGCCTGACCTGACATTCGAGCCGATTCTAATTATTCTACTAGTGTTGTCGTTCTCGATGAACTTGATTTCATTCTTCAAACCCCCTCCGCCCTCTCTTCTATATTTTCTGTCGCAGAATCAGCACCCACAGCTCTACGTATCATTGGTATCTCCAACACACTCACGCTCGGTGCCTCTGGGTGTCCTTCGACAAAGGCGAAAGCCATCGATTTTCTTACGCTTGACATGCCTGCTTATACTGCCGAGGATATCGTTCGAATTGTTCAAGGTCGCTTGGCTTCCTTGACCTCCCTCAGCAAACCCAACCCCCTAACCCCTGCATCTGCGTCACCAACTGGTGCATCACTGGTTATTGCACCGACCGCCCTTTCGTTCCTTGCCAAGAAAATCGCAGCACAGACAGGTGATTTACGCACGGCATTCGATGCCGTTCGACGGACTATCGAACTCGCCGAACGGGAAGTCAACCCGTTTGCACCTACACCTTCCAAAACCAATAATCCTTCGGCGGGTCCTACAAACAACGGGTTTGCAACTATGAAGCATGTTCTTGACGCGCTGCGAGGGCGCGATGGACTTGCGGGTGGCCAAGCTGTCAACAACGCTCGTGGATTGGGCATGCAAGCTCGTCTCGTGCTTGTTTCCATTCTAGTTGCTCGACGTCGTGCAGCTGCCGGCTTGGTTCTTCTTCCGGTCAAGTCCGTAAACAACCTCGCTCGCACTCCTAGCAAGGCCATTCCACGCACACCGAGCAAGACCAGTCGCGCCGTTCTGCAGGCGTCACCCACCAAGCGTAGTCGGGCAGGCGAATCTGAGATGTATGAAGCTTCTACATTGCACGCGGCATACTCGGCCATCCTCACGTCGGATGGTGCTTTCGCGCCCGTTTCGAGGAGTGAGTTTCAGGATTTGCTTGGTGTTCTGGAGACAGCTGGCCTCGTCACCGTCGTCGGAACTACAGCAGGGACGACTCCGAGCCGCGGCACTCCCAGTCGAAGAAAGAATCCTATGGTAGGCGGAGAGCCATTTGTTGGGTTGGCTGAAGGCGTAAGAGAAGAGGACGTCTTGCGCGGTCTCGGTAGTGCGGGCGTTGGAGGGACTTCAGGCGTCAAAGAAGAGGAAGCCATGGCGCTTTGGGAACGAGAGCTGAAGAGATCTAGGCGAGACGTGGAGCGTGTCCATCGTGCAGCAGAGAGAGAGCGAGAGGCCGCGGCGGTGGATGGGTTTGCTGATGCTTGTGCTAATGATTGATGTTACCTTGAACATTTATTTCTTGCTTTGTTAATATTTTGCTTTGTACCATGCTATTACACTTTTTGAACAAGACTTGAAAAACTACGTTCGTCTCTGTGTTTAAATCTAATGCAAGATGTGCGAGCGGTATAAGTATTATTTAGGCTCCCGCCGACGCGTACTAATCGGCTGCTTGTCTCTCAACTTTAGCCATAGCATTGATGCTTTACCATCCGTGTAAGCCTAACGCCTTTAGTTACGCAGCTAATTCGATTGAGAGAAGAATTGTTAAGTTCCCGTTTAATGCTTTTCTCGTGCCGTGGTTGTGTTACCAGTGCGCTCCACGCCTAGGTTGGAGCGCATATAGTACAGCCTATGCTGCGTTATCGGTTGATAACTGACTCGTCTGGTAGATAGTACCTCTATGAGAATAACTCTAATAATTATGTTGCTGCTGTCGGTGTGAGGTTCACATTACTGGCTGTAGTTTACGATCCCTAAGATGAGAAGGAAGTGGCGAGCAGACGCGGCTATACAGTACGCGAGTTGCAAATAGGAACACGGCCCAGAATACGCGTCTTGTGAAACATATTGGAGACGCCCGTATAAGGCGAGACTGTTGCGGCTCAATTTCAGAGCACCAGCCACCTATACCAGTAGATTTCTGAGTATATGCGCATGCGTCGAGACACTTCAAGTAAATAGCATTGGGTTTGATTAATAGCTTCGCCATCGCATACAGGTAAAGCCACTAGTAGTATGAAGGAATGCAAACGTTTTAGGTAAATAACATATAAACAAGTTCTACAAAGTTTAAAGCTTTAGACGCATGAAACGATTACTATATCAGCGTTGTACGCTGCCTAAGAATCATACATGGCGTACCACCCGTTCAACGTTGGTACAAGCACTCGAGAGACGTCCAGTAGGGGTAGGTGAGTGTGTATTACGTGCTTTAAGTTCATAGTACTGAAAGCTCGGCCGAGATCGAGCCAGCTACAGAGAGTAACTCCACAAGATTGATAGGCGGTTGAAGGACAAGACCCAGAGCCAAAGGCTTGAAAGATTATGAGCTCTCGTCGCATCCACAAGCTTCATACTCGGTGGCAGGTGGCAGAAACCTAACTCCCGCTTAGCTCAGTGGTAGAGCGCGTCACTAGTAACTCTAATTGCTTACAGAATGCTTATGTAAGCTTATGTAATGACGAGGCCACTTGTTCGAGTCAGGTAGTGGGAACTCCTTTTTTGCGACTCTTTTGAGCTACTGTAGCTCTAGACACACGTCCTGGACGTCGAGAAAGCAAGTGCGGAGGTAGAGCATTTTTATAGAGACAGACTAGCTCAAAGTTACGCCATATCACCACCTTAGTAGTGCAGAATCAGTCACAGAATCTACTGGTACTTATGCCCGAATTTTATGACCCACACAGCGGGAGCAACAGCTGAACTCTCCTCCGGAGCACAACTTGGCACCTCCGGGCGCCCGGCGCTTAACGTTACTTCAACCTGTGCCACGCTTCAATTTACCGTATGGGCTGCCGGCGATTCAAAGCTAACAAGCAGACCACAAGCCTCACACGCGAGTTATGTGATCCTAGGCTGCTATGGGTATTGTTTACCCTCTCTGAAGCTGATCGTTGCAAAATGGGCAAAGTTTTGCTAGAGGACTTTCTGTGTCGCCTGTTTTATGCTGCTAGAGGTCTGTAACTATCGAATATGTACTTCTAGTAGCCGCAGCCACTCAAGGCTCCGTTTCCTATGCACAATGCTGTCTGAGCAGTCTGCGAACCGAGTGAAATCTGCCTCTGACTTCCTAATCGTTTTACCTGGGGGTAGTTCATGGCTTAATTGGCAGAATGTAGCACCAAGGCTATCATAAGTTTCTAGCACTTTCGCGTAAGACTCGAGATCCGTAGGCAGATCCAAATATGAATGATTTCGGGTTCAAGGATTGTAGCACACCATCTAAAGGACCACTAGGGGGCGCATATAGTCACTATCCACCGCGTGATCGTGAAGCCCAACTCACTTGGCGCAACAAGCTTGTTGCATTCGAGTGGCCTAGCATAACTCCCTCTCTCTTACACTTTAACATGACTGTTTGAATCCGTAACTTTGATTGGCGCTCACGTTGGCGGCAGAGGTAAGACTGGATTGTAGTAGGGTACACTAGCATATATTTATCAAAATGTGGACTCACATCCAAAAGAGACCTCGTGCTGGTAGCATGCCCAAGTCCCTCGTTAACTATTGCCATCTGTTGTGTCGAGTGCTGGCTCTCGGTTCGTGTACTCTCGGTCACTAGCACTTGATTTCCACGGCTTTGGCGCTGATGTGGCTTATTTGTAACCAGCCCAGGCGCTTCTTTCCGCAACAGTTCATCACTCTCCTTCCTCCCACCGCGATCATGTCCAACTACCCACAAGCACCTCCCGGCTACCAGCCTGCTCCCCAGAGTCCTCAAAAGTATACTCAATACGGTGCTTCCAACTCATCGGATCCTCTCCTCGGAGAGACTCGTGGCCAGTCATCGGGTGGCGTGCATGCCTTTGGTGACGACAGCGATCTTCCCGATGATTTCAAGTGAGTACTATCGTTTGTGTGGGCTCACCCTGCTCATTGGTGTAGGTATGGTGTGACGGTCTCCGAGTCTGCGCCCGAGATTCAACAGGCGTTTGTGCGCAAGGCAAGTGGCTCCGCCCGGCAAATGACTACCGCTTACACCGCCCCCAGGTTTATTCTATTCTATTCGCCCAACTTGTAGGTCTCGATTTTTTGACAT